TATATCGGCGACAGGCTCATATCGGCCGATAATATCGGCAAAACGATATATCGGTCGGGCTCTATTATTTACTGTACAATTGTATAAATAAAAATATGCATATGTATTTACATAATACTTGAAAGACTACTGAAAGAAAAAAGGAAATGGAGAAATTAATTACAGAAAACAGGTAATAATTTTTGTGTAAGCTATATGAATAATGTAAAGCTTTACATTATTAATGATGTAAAGCTAATTGCTTCAAAACAGTCTTTTCCATAAAGTGCAGTGTAAATAAACGTATCAGCAGAGCTGGTGCAATCATCCACGTCGCTATGATCAGATGCTTTCTTAACTGCTGTTTTCCCACAATTTCATGCTTTTTGTGTTTATTTTGTTATTGAGAGGCAAATGCCCAGCACATTCAGTATTTCCATATTCTTAACATCGCTCTCAGCAGCGGCAGGATGTTCTCTAAAAGTAAACTGCTGCTTGCATATATCAAACTTCTTTATACCCCTAAGCAAAGAACGAAAAAGAACGTTGCCTTGAGTCTATTGGGGTCTTTACACATGGCAGAATCTTTTGTTTGTAATTTTGTAATGCTTTCCTACACTGTACTGCTTTGGCTTCTTTTGCACTTCTCATAAGTGTGTCTTCTTTTGGATTGCAGGCAGGAGGGCTGAATTACAGAATTATAATAATGCAGTGACTATTCGACAACAAAAATATTTGTCGACAATTTTTTATTGACGACGTTGTCAATAGCGTTGACTAAGCATTTCAGCCATAGTTCAAACAAACATTGGCAATCAGGATCGCAAACTTAGATGGTCAGAATCTTGATCTGTCATTACAAACATAGTCTCTTGTTAGTATGACGTGGACTTATAGATCATGTTTTTGGGCACAATAAGCAAGCTAACATGCAGTACATTCAATTTGTATATACTATATATACATTTTAATCTACATATTTTATTGTGTCCTCAATAAGCAGCATTTTGAAGAGTGTGCATGTGTATAAATGCGTCTTTAAAGATAAAAATGTTATTTTTGAGGAGCAGAGAATAGTGTCTTAGTCTAGCATTTGCATATATATATATATATATATATATGTATATGTATGCCCAGCAAAAAAAAAACGAAATAAATACGAAATCATATTTGTATATGATTAATGTACATACCTGGAATGTAAGTGCGTCATACCTGGAATTTTTAAATTCGGCTTGAAATTAAAATTCATCACCCCATCTATTTTCGAAATGGATTTTTTAGATCTTATTGTGAACAATTAATCCATGTATTTTTCAATGTTTAAAAAATGTTTTAACCTCGTAATTTTCCCGGGTTCATGCAGGACGGTATAATGTCTTAAATTCAGTTTTATCAAACATAAGAGCATAAAAAGTCTTTAATAGTATAACACAAGTCTTAATTATCATTTTACAAGGACTTAAAGGGACAATTCACCCCAAATTAAATGGTCATCTTTTACTCACCCTCCACCAAACAGCTGATGGTAGCCATTGATTTCCATAGTATTTTTTTCCCTACTATGAAAATCAATGGCTACCGTCAACTGTTTGGTTACCAACATTCTTCAAAATATCTTCTTTTGTGTTCAGCAAAAGAAAAAACATACAGGTTTGGATCAAATGGAGGGTGAGGTAAACCAGATTTTTTGGGTGAACGATCCCTTTAAACTTGGCTTCAGAAAAACAGGAATCCCAATTAAAAGTAGTGCTATGGTATCGCAATGGTTTGCGATAAATGAGTGATTTAATACTTCAAAAAGTTATGTATGGTCAAAGTATTAGGTCGATGCAGATAGTATAGCATCTGGCACGTGGATGTTAGTTGGGATTGATATGTGTGCGTGTGCTCTGACGCAAGACTTAAGCTGTGGTGCTTTCATAGCGAGCTAATCTGATAAGATGAGGTAGCCTAAAGGGGGTCGCACACCGGACGAGAAGCGCAGCGCCGCCTTTAGGACAACTCCCAGGGATCACACTCCAGACGTGTCACGTTCAGTTCAAGACAGCAGTCAGTCAATCTAATCACCAAACAGCCAAATGTTCACTTCAAGAATGAACAAAGTTGCGTCGATGAGTTTGAAGTATCTTATTTGACAAAGCAGAGCAAACAAAGTGATTGTCGCTCTGTGGCGCAGCAGGATTTTGAATAGTGTCCAGAGCCGCCGCGGACAGTCGCTGCGTAGCAGTGCCGGTGTGCTTACACTCATAGAAAACAATGTGTTTGAATTTTAAAGACAAACACATTTGCTGTACTTCTTGTCTGGTTTGCGACCTTCTTAAGGCACCCGCAGCTGCTGCCGACGATTTAGTGCCAAAACGAAGAAGCACCTCAAAGATATGACAGTATTTTGGCTTTTAGAGAGATGACCACATGCAGACTGAAGTTATAAGTAAAACATGAAAATCTCGAGTGGCAACGCAAAGGGAAAACACTACAAATTTTCACAGTCACCTCAAAGCGAAGCACAACAATTTGTATCAGCTATGCTCGGCAGAAAAATCAATCCTTGTTCCCGAAAATAAGCAACAATCCAAAGCATAAGGCTTTAACAATGTCCGATTTGTTTTATGCAACAATAAAACATGGTTATATCATTTTTTTAAATATATTTCAATACAATTTAAATTGATTTTAGAAAAATAAATATTGTATCGCATATTGAATATCGCATTATTTAGCATGCTATCGCATATAGCATTTTTCTTCAATATCGCACAGCCCTAATTAAAAGTTTAGTAAAGCCAGCCAGTTAGGTTTGAACTTGTGATCTGAGAAAGCTCTTGCAATTTTTGAGCGCGATAAACATCAGACAGTCAAAGATCGTGTCATAACTGTTATTTGTGGAGCCACTTACTAAAGGTTGCCTTCTTACGCCATGCTATTGAATTTGACACACTGTCATAACCAAGACTACATTCCTGCTAAATCGTTTTTTTTTTCTGTGACTTCAGCAGCATCTTCACTCTGAAACTCTTGACAGATATCAAGCAACACCATGTTTAGTTTGTCTGCTTGGCTGAATCTGACAGGCAGAGAATCCGCGAGTCTGCCCAGCTCCTTATTTACACCCTGTGCACTGTTGGATGAAATGCTGTTCATCTCTCATATCTGGCTAAGTCCACACCAGCTATCGATTCATTAAGTGTCTCGTATTGACGTTTTCTGGCTGAACGGTTGGGTACGACTGCAGGCCTGTGTGAATGTACGACTGCAGGCCAACGTGCCTGTGAATCCCTAAAATGATTTTTAATTTTCGTGGATTGACTGACTGACTGTGTGTGCATTTGTTAAATGTAGGTGTGGAGGAGCTCGTATCTGTTACATATTCCACGAGACGTTTGGAAGAACTCTGCAGTCTATTGACCCACTTGGAGGACTCACCGAGCTAGACGTTCTCACAGCTATTCGAAACGCTACGGTATAATATTTACATGTTTATGCATGCATGTGTGTGTGTGTACAGATAAGCATATACAGTACTTTTTGAAAACCTTTGTGGATCTTCTCAACTTCCTTGTCTCACTTTCTTAAAAGTAAAGTGTGCATTTAATGCATCATATGTGTCACCAAACCGAATTGCAGGAATAATGGCAATTATTTTTAAAAACAGGTTTTTCTGGACGCAGTGTTATGGTACAATGCATCCTATTCATGTCCTCAACTTGAAGAGTTTTGGAAACAAATAAATACTGGATCAGTTGTCATGGAAAATCTAGAATTTTAAAATTGTGATTTCTAGGCCTTCAAAATTTAACATATGTTAATAAAATAATTTCTTAAATAAAATCTTTAAAAGTCATTGAAAATGCATGGGGATGTCTGTAGATTATAGCTACACTAATGTTCAAGAGTTTAGTGTTGGTAACTTTTTTCAATGTTTTTGAGTGAAGTCTTTTATGATTACTTATTTGATAAAAAATACCGTAAAATCAGAAATATTGTGAAATATTATTACAATTTGAAGTAGCTGCTTTATATTTGAATATATTATAAAACATAATTTATTCCTGTGATCAAAGCTGAATTTTCAGCATCATTACTCCAGTCTTCATTGTCACGTGATCCTTCAGAAATCATTCTAATATGCTGATTTGCTGCTCAAGAAACGTTTCTGATTATTATTATCAATGTTGAAAACAGCTTTGCACCTTAATATTTTTTTGTGAAAACGCTACCAAAAAACAACAACAACAGAAATTAATGCATTAAATTGATCAAAAGTGACAGTAAACACATTTAGAATATTGCAAAGGATTTATATTTGAAACAAAAGCCGTTCATTTGTATCCTGATTTCCACAAAAATTAAAGCTGTTTTCAACATTAATGATAATAACCATTATTAATAATCGAATACCAAAAATAATTGATGCTAACTGAGCAGCAAATCAGCATATTATACTGATTTCTGAAGGATCATGTGACACTGAAGACTGGAGTAATGATGCTGAAAATTCAGCTTTACATCACAGGAAGAAATTACATTTTAAGATATTTTCAAATAGAAAGCAGCTACTTCATATTGTAATAATATTTCACAATATTTCTGATTGTACTATATTTTTAATCAAATAAGTGCTGAAAATTAAACATGTTTAAATCTTAATTAAAGCTTAATTATTCCAGACTTTTGACTGGTACTCTATATATTTGTTTATATATGTCTGAAATATTTCTCCTGGTAAAAGTTGTTCTCCATGAGTGCAGTCACTATTAAATTAATCATAAAAGCCATGGAAAATCATTGGTCAGAATTTGTGGACACTGTAACACTTATATAACAGATGCAGACTAGATCTGGGTTGATTGTATTTGTTGTTGTGATGGATGTAGGGTCCTCGGCCGGCGCTGTTTGTTCCTGAGGTCAGTTTTGAGCTGCTGGTGAAGAAACAGATCAAGAGACTGGAGGAGCCCAGTCTGCGCTGTGTGGAGCTCGTACACGAGGAACTTCAGAGAATCATCCAGCACTGCTCTGCCTACAGCACACAGGTGCTTCACTGACTATTAATATTTGATGCAGAACATCCACGCTTGTATTGTAACGTGTGTAGTTAGATGTTAAAGGAGTAGTTCACTCAAAAAAAGGAAAAATTCTTCAAAATGTATTCACATTCAGTCCATCCAAGATATAGATGAGTTTGTTTCTTCCACTTGCTCACCAATGGATGCTCTGCAGTGAATGGGTGCCGTCAGAATGAGAGTCCAAAGAGCTGATAAAAACATCACAATAATCCACAAGTAATCCACACCACTCCAGTCCATCAATTAACATCCTGTGAAGTGAAAAGCTGCTTGTCTGTAATAAATAAAACCATCGTTAATACGTTTTAAACGTCATATTTGCTTAAAACTGTCCTTGATCTGTGCATATTTCTCTCCTGATTCAGATGAGCCAACCTTTTCACTGAAGAAAGCAATATTATGGATATAGAGAGTTCATTTTAGTCGGAAACAACCGTTTGAATTTAAAAACGATTCTTTTCTTACAAAAATGCAGCTTTTGGCTTCACAAGACATTAACTGATGGACTGGAGTGGTTTGGATTACTTGAGGATTATTGTGATGTTTTTATCAGCTGTTTGGACTCTCATTCTGACGGCACCCATTCACTGCAGAGCATCCATTGCTGAGCAAGTGATGCAATGCTACATTTCTCCAAATCTGTTCTGATGAAGAAATAAACTCATCTACATCATGGATGGCCTGATTTTCAGCTAATTTTAATTTTTGGGTGAACTGTTCCTTTAATGTGGTTGTGTCGTCAATACCAGTACCATTTTTGTGTGGTGCATTTTGTGGCTCAGTTTTCATAAGTGTTTTTGATGGATTAGGGAGGAAGCATTGCGACGTGAATGTTAGAATGTTTTCTGCATAGTACATCACACTCTGCTATTTCAAACAAGCAAGAAAAAATTCTGTTTTCCATTTCTACAAAATGAAATGTGAAGAGGAGAGTGAAAGCTTTTTACACCGGCACAACAGATTGACACACACAGACTCAGAACAGCCTGCATTAGGATTCTGCTCCTCATTCTGCTCTTATCTTCTCTGTCCTGCTGCCTTCCTTCACTGTGTACATTTGTTTTACATTAAACATTTTTTCGGTTTCCTCTATTATATACATAAATTTAACTTCAGAATGTGTGCTGGAGGGAACACGGGGAACAGATTTGATGCTCATAATATTTGGAAGTGCGTTGGGTGAATATTATGCTTTCACTCTTTCACACAGGAAGTGTAAAAGTGCTTTAAATAATTGACAGCTAACCTACCGTATGTATGTGTGTTTGTTTATGTCCGAAGGAGCTTTTGCGGTTTCCCAAACTGCATGACTCAATAGTGGAGGTGGTTACCAGCTTACTCAGGAAACGCCTGCCCATTACCAATGAGATGGTAGGAACACTTGCCTGTAGCTGCACAGAAACACCAGCCACTTACACTTGCCTCGAAGGCTGTGTGTTACAGTCATTTAATCATGATTAAGGGCTGTTCTTAGACAGAATGCAATCTTTCATAGAACAATAGAAACATTAAAATGATAAAAGACCAAACTGTATAATAACATGTATTAAGTATAATATGAAATGAGAGGTCAGAGTTCTCACTCTTGAGTTTTTAGTCCAATTTGAGGTTGATCAGTCAGTGTTTCAATGGTTTCTGAGTTCAAGGCACATAAAGTCCTTTTTTTTTTCAATCATAGTGTAATCAGATTATGTCCAAGTGTCATTAAGTTTTTTTTTTTTTTTTTATGTTTTTAAAAACTTTTTTTTTTTTTGGCTGTTATAATTAGTCACCTTCTTTTCATAATATTGGTCGTTAGATCTTAGACAAATGTCAAGATGATGAGCAAGTCTGTTAGGCAATGCAATACCAAATGCACAGATCTGTATTTAGACATTTATCTGAATCATTTTTGTCCCTCTCTTTACCAGTATATATATATATATATATATATATGTATTAATTGGTATCAGGGTTAGTATTGGATATGTAATTGTGTATGCTCCTTCTCCTTATTTTTACAGTACATTTTTTACAATCTTTCGCAAATCATAATAAAATATGCATTTTTCATACAATACATTATAATGTTGTGATGCCTAAATTCACATTGTGAGTTAAAGTTGAGGTGAAAACACTGATCTGTGTGGAGAAATAATTCACTCTGATTGCATGGATTTCTATTGAAATAACTGGATTTCACCAACAATCCACAGTTCGAAAATTCACCAAACAATGGTGAATGTGACCACATCCTAACTGATTTGTAGTGTTGTATTCTAAATGTATTAAAATAAATTAGTGTATAATGTTAATATCAGCCATTTATTGGTTATCGGTTATCAATAGTAACATTACAATAATTATCGGCTTATTGATATCACCCAATATTATTATTATTTTTTAATTTATTGGTATCTGTTAGTATTGGGTATGTAATTGCATGCTCATTTCCCCTATTGTTACATTTAATTTAATTTCGCCATCATCCAACACTCACTTACAGGTTCTCTCTAAAAACACCATTAATTTTCATCTTCATGAAATCATAATAAAATGAACATCTATTTTAAATTGCTGTCATTTTGGCAAAATTTCACTGGCAAAAAGTCCACTGTCTGTTTGCCTGACCAACTTGATTTCTGAGGAGAAATCACCAAAAATCCGATTTCAAAAATGTTGAAAATCGCTTAACAGTAAATGTGATTTTAATTTTTGGTATTTCATTTTTTTTTTTAAATTATGTAATTATGTAATATTGGCTATTTATTGGATATGTTGGGAACATGAACATAATTATTGATACCAACATCAGCCTTACTGATAGCGGCCAGAATTTGTATTTGCTTCATCCCTACCCCAAACGCACACAATATATATCATACATCAAAGATCCTGAGTGCGTGACACATTCAGAGCACACTTTTGGCTAATTCTGAAAACGTGTCATCATGTTAACTCATGTTTCTTCTTCACAGGTTCATAATCTAGTTGCAATTGAGTTGGCCTATATAAACACCAAACATCCTGATTTCACAGACGCTGCCCAAGTGTCTGCATCTGTCAACAGCCAGAAGGTACTGAAACTCTCTCTCTCTGTCAAGTCAAGTCAAGTCACCTTTATTTATATAGCGCTTTTCAGTCTGACGGGGCTCATGCTTATAACAGTAGCTTGGTGGAGTAGACTCATTTAGACCAATATAATCATTAGGTTTTAGCCAGGTTTCAGTCAAGCAGAGTACATCAAAACGATTATCTGTGATCATTTCATTTACAATAACTGCTTTGGGTGAGAGTGATCTAATGTTTAGGAGCCCAAACTTTAAAAATTGTTTTTGTTCATTTATTTTACATTTTTCTGGTTTAATCAAGATCAGATTTTTTCTAGATCCTGCATTAAATTTATATTTTGACCTCACTATTCGGGGAACAGACACAGTGAGGTGAGAGACAGAGACACAGTCTCTGTCTCTCTCTCCAAATCCAAATGGGAGTAGTTTTTGTTTTATCGTCTCTTTCACAGGCGGAGGCTGGGGATGGAGGTAAGCGATGGAAGAATGAGAAGATGCCGTCGGAGGAGAAAGGCCCCGTGCCAGGGTTTGGGAGTCCCAATAAAGCCGTCAACCTGCTGGACACGGTACGTCTTTGCTATCTCATAACTGCAGAAGTCTACAATACCTGCACATTCAAAAGAAAACAACTTCTGAAAATGTTTCTGAAGGCCGTGCCAGTGTCCCGCAAGCTGAGCACTCGAGAGCAGAGGGACTGTGAGGTCATCCAGCGGCTCATCAAGTGCTACTTCCTGATCGTGCGCAAGAGCATCCAGGACAGGTCAGATTCATAGTGCCTGTCCATGTAGGAGCCAAATAACTGGATAAGCTGGATTTTTTTTTTTTTCTGCTTTCTGTAGTGTGCCAAAGACGGTGATGCACTTCCTGGTGAATTTTGTGAAAGAGCATTTGCAGAGTGAGCTGGTCGGTCAGCTCTACAAACAGCGTCTGCTGCAGGAGCTGCTCATCGAGTCTCAGGAAACGGCTCAGCAGCGCACGGAGGTTGCACAGATGCTGGAGGTACGGCTGTGTGTGTTTGAAGGACATTTAAACCTCTTAATGCATTGGGGTCAGTTTTGACCCAGAACTGATAAATAAACATTTCTAAAAAATTAAGGGTGTGCGATAATGACAAAAAATTATATCTCGATATTTGCTGGAATTTTGTCAGTAACTATAATTAGACGATATTTTGCTGAGCGTGTTATTGTGCTGGTACTTTGAAAAAAAAATGTGTTGAGGTGGCACAGATTCTGCATCTGAAGTGGCATTTAGATGCATTCACACAGACTATTTAATGCAGGACATGAATGCAGTGCAGTTAACCTGCAGTTGCAAATGCATAAATTATGTTTTGATGTTGAATACTGATATTTGAAATGATTTGGGGGGAAAAAGGGAAAATATACTTTAAATATAAACCTAAAATCACCAGTAGGTGGTGGTAAATCACTGCATGAGTGAGTCATTGAGTCATTCATTCAGCCGATTAGTTCAAAGGATAGTTTCGTTGATTCAGTAACGAAACAGAGATACAAAACAGTTCTGCTGTGGCTTTGTTTGAAACCATTTTCGTTGATGAAATAGAGCAAAAACAAGAACTGTTGTGTCTAAAATGTAAGTCAGTTAATATTAAAGGTGGGGTAAGTGATTTCTGGTAGCCAATTCGCTTCTTGATGGCCTGTTTGGGGGTTGTGGCTAGAAGGGATACAACAAAAACCAGAAGCTAACAATAAATTCAAGTTTCTACCTATTAGATTGTGTTTTGTTAATATCTACACCTACCCCTTACAATAATGCAAACACAGTAATTATTGTTGTAGTGTGAGAAAAATGACTCTATATTGATGTGCGTATGCCCAGTAGTTTTTGCTGTATCCCTTCTAGCCTTAAAGGTGGGGTAAGCGATTTCTGGTAGCCAATGTTGACATTTGAAACCACCAAAACAAACACGCCCCTACCCCAAAAGGGTCTCGCCCCTATTTTGATAGCTCCGACCCACACATTCGTACGCAACCCAGGCAACGATTAGTTATGTGAAACAAAGCAAAACCAATGTGTCTACACCGGACGCGAGCGGCGCGACAGCATACCATAGAACTCATTATAATCAGTGATGCTGTCTACACTGGATGCGGCGCGGTGAGGCACGACAAATCCCCGACTGAAAACTGCTGCTGCGTTCTATTTATAACGTGTTGACACAAATTTCAAATGATTTTCAACAGGTCGCTTTATCGCGTCCAGTGTAGACAGGCTTTAGCTGTTGCGGCGCGTTCGGTGTTGACACGGTGTTACTCGCCTATCTAGAAGAAACAAAGCAACCTCGGCGTCCGATCGCAGGCCTTCCGCTCCTTGAGTTCTCTCCAGCGCTGGAAAGCT